ATACACCTACTGTGCGCCTGGGCACCCTCAGTTCCCGTTGCAATCAGCACCTTGCAGGCTCAAGGCTCAAAAGGGACAATCTAGTCCAGAAGTTAATCAAGATGGACTTCAAAAGCACCAAACAGCGTCCTACCTACGTTGTTATGAACGGCTGCGTCCGTCTGATTCGCTGTGTTGAGCCCTTTAGAAAGCATTGTGCCAGCAGCTTTGTTGTCAAATTTTTGACTGGCTAGACACTGTTTAGCTTTCCTCCCCGTTCAGTATTTAACCTTGCCTGTCCCATATCCAACTCCCGCAGTGATGTTTTAATTTGTGCAGAACTTCTCCATCTTTGGAGATGCCAGTGCACAGAATTGATGTAAACTGTGTGAATCATGGAGCCCTTAAAAACAAGGTCAACCTTGGCTCTTGCTGCTCTTAATATTCGTTTCCTTTTGCAACTTGAAGAATTTCACAGCATACTGTTCCCGTACACTCTGGAGTGGGATTTGATTATTTTTCACAGTGAGTCTCAAAGCCACCATTAGACAGGCAAGGTCCACAAGCACTAAGGCCCGTAGTAATTCAGCAAGATAGTTAGAATAAAAAGCACCAGGTCATCAGTTTCTAGCTTCCCTGGAGTTTCCGTTATTTGAGCATGGGATCCAGGCTTTATTTCCAGGGTCATTCACCTTGTGCTTTATTATCTCGGACTATGGCAGCAAACATAGCCTCCTGTTTGCCTGGTGCATTGCCTGAATCTCAGGCTCTCTGCTTCTTTAATTCTATTTCAGAGGCTTCGGCTTGTTTTTTACATCAACAGCAATAAGTGGATCTTGCAGATTGTTCAGGGTTTTGACATTCTGGTTTAGTTATTGCTGTTTTGATTCCGTGCTGCTGGTATGAGAAGTGGGTATTGCAGAGCACAACCTGCCACCTTCACCTTCTGTGCCACAGGGCTTGTCAAACGATTCCTTTGACTGACACAAGGACATCCTATTTCCTCTGTCCCTCCTTTTCTCTCGCTGGTTTGTTCGCTCGCCTCATCTTTCACGTCTGAGATTGTTCGCTCATCGGGGCTTTACTCTGCAGCCTCTGGCATAGCGGGGCTCCAAGCTCACGGAGGCCACTCTGTGCTTCTGAAATATACCTGAGAGATAAAAAGAAAAGTGCTTTTGCGGGGCTGGGGGTGGGGCGGCATTTGTTTTGCCCTTGGCTGCTGTTGCAAGGCCGTGTAGAAGACGCCTGGATTTAAAGACTGATTTAAAATAAATGTCAGGTCATGTGGCATGCCTAGAGAGCGACGGAGGGCACTCCTGGGCTGACCCCTATACTTGGAGCCAGCTCACGCAGGCAAACTCAAGCTAGTTGTCATCAAGCTCGCATGCTAAGACGAGTAGTGTAGACATGGTAGCATGGGCTGGCCATGCCGAGTGCATACCCACAGGTCTGGGCAGCTTTGTCCTCATGGTGGCTAGCCTGTACCGCCGCTCCTGCTGCCCAGGCTACTGCCGCTACACCACTGGTTTTAGCTCGCATGAGTGTGCCTATGCAATCTGGGAATCACACCCCCAGCTACGTGTGCAGATGTGACCATAGTGTAGGGGCAGCATGGTAGGGACAAGACAAGAGAAAGGGCAGGGTACCCCCTAGCCTGGAAGTAGCATAAAGAATGGGACGGGGAGTGGAAGGAAATGAGCGCAGAGATTCCTGCAAGGGATGCAGTTGTTCAGAGCCTTGAACATGAGAATCAGAGATGTTTGAACTCGATGAGATGGCAAGAGGAAGTGAACGCAGGTTGGGGATTCAAAGGCTGGAGTGATGTGCTCAGAATGACAGGAGAGGGGAATGGCATTGAGCGACACTATCTTGCAGAGGCAGGAGTGGAGTGAAAGGACCTGCAGGAGTCCAAAGCGGCAATACTCAACTCTACTTGTGCTGTTAGTTGTCATCTGCTTTGTAACGTGTACGCGAGGAAACTTTGCATCTTTACTGTTTGCAAATAGCAATAGTTTGACAAATTGGTATTTGCTTCTTAAGGCCATGGATGGTTTTCCTCCTTTCTGGCAACATAGGCCTATGTTTAAATCTCTTTAACCCAATCTCTGTGGTACGATACGTATTTCTAAGAACAGCCCATTTCTCTGACCTTATAGAGGATCGCAGTTCACCTGGCCTTCCTGCCCCCACGCAGTAGATTACTCCATGCTGCCTGAATCACATTAGAGCCTGTATGAAGAAGGTGAATGAGTGTTGACATTATAAACTTTTAGGGGAGAAAAATGTATGAACTTTGAATTAATAAGGATGAAATTTGGAGAACGTGGTTAGCCTTGGTGCACTTTTATTTGTACCAGACCTGGTACACTTTGCTTAACACTTTTTTTTTACCCCAACATTTGTAAACAATAGAAAGTGTTAAAATTAAGGGTTTTGATTTTTCAGAAGTGCTGAGCACCCACAATTGTCAAGGTGGGGGGAGACAGAGGATGTTTAGTACCTTGTAGTAGATATTTATCTGTTAGGGTATTAGCCTAAATTTTCACCTACTGTTTTGGGCCAGGAAAAGATAGAATCTGTGTGCACAGATTGGTTAGCTAGATTCGTTAGACTGCCAGATTTCTCGGAATTGTTGTTTGTGAACACAAATGGTCATGCTTGTAAAATGGTAGGCACAAATTTACAGGATGGGTTAAGGAAAACGCATCTAAATAAGACCCTAAATTGAGGAAGGTCATAGCTCTCATGAATTCAGTCTGTCTTATTGTTATGTTGGTCTGTTTAAGACTATCAATGAGAAATCCATGATTCCGCAACAGAAAATAGTAGTAGCAGAGTGTCTGTGGGGTTGTCTATTCACCTTTCTGACATTTGCTAAGTTACGCAATATGGACCAGATCCTCAGCTGGTATAAATTGGCGTAGCTTCACTGAAGTAGACTGAGAGATCTGGCCCTATTTAAAAGAGGAGCCTGTGTCTTCTGGACACTGCTTCCAGCTGTCAGTAATCTGGAAGTGGAGCAAGCACTTTTGGTGGTACATACTGGTGCCAGGTGCAAGGGAATGTGTGGTGCATTTGATTCTTTAACTAGTGAAAACCTAGGTAACAGTTCCATCACCAGATAGCAGTTTTGCTTATTCCATACCTCTCTTCGGCAGGTTCTGCCTCTTTTTGTGAGAAATGTTTCCTCCAATAAATAAAACACTCTATCTCTGGTTGTAGTACCTAAAAGTGAGTGAGTGTGTGTGTGTGTGTGTGTGTGTGTGTGTGTGTTTGTGTGTGTGTGTTAATAAGGATGATAAACACTCACAATAAAAATACAAATAACAATTGCTGCTGGCAGCTAGGGAAGAAAAGGTGTGTTTTACTGGGTGAAGGCCATAACAATACTTATGTTCCCAGACGTGAGCCCAGCAACAACAAAAAAGGCATTCCCATCTGTTAAGCAAAGCTTCTAGTAGCTAAACAGAGCCTTGCTGTTATATCTGGCCAAGTTTCGGTTTTAATATGAATGCAAGAAGAGACCTATCTTCTAGGACACTGAATTTGACACACAGCTACTGGAAAGGGGCACCACATGTTAAAGCTTGAAGTTTGAGGATCCTGTAGCCCTCTCTCCCGCCTTCTATATTCCATGGGCTAGAGATTTGAGAAAAGGACCAAACCAATCGTTACAGAGACCTACCAGGATACTCTCTAGTGTATCTGGATGTGTATTCCCTGAAAATATAATCACCGGTTGTGTTACTGTTTCCTACATGAAACTGCTACGGTTATTGCTCTGATGTCAGATTATCGTGCTTGTGATTTGGTTTAAATAGTGTGTCACAAGGTCTGGCTCACATAATGGATTCCTTGCCCAGGCCCTTTATTACTTCATGTTTTGCCCTGCAGCTACTCTATTAACTCTGATTGGCTAAAATACCTAGAGATCCCACCCAAACTTGGAGTCATAGCCGGAGGTCTCCCAGGGCTGTGCTTGAGTTATTTAAGGGCTTGACTACACTATGTCATAGTCTGCATCACCTGGGGCGTAAGTTCTAATGAGCACCAGCATGTCACACACTAACTGACCAGTGTGGGCCCTGCTAGTGTGCACTAAAAGTTCGCTAGTGCGCATTAATGTATTCCCATTTCAAACAGTACTATGCTATGTGCACTAGGGATCTTTTAGTCCACATGATCTGGTTCATGCATGTCACATTTCTACACAGTAGAATTTACAACCCAGCTGGTGCGGACTAAGGTACCATGTAAACAAGCCCTAAGAAGAAACACTGATGACAGATTAGAGTAAATGGAAGTGAGCGTCTGTTAGTTCTAATGGCTGAATGCTAACACCAATCCTGCAAAATCTTGCAGATTCCGCTCACATTTTTTCTTTAGATTTTCTTTCCATCTGCCATCAGAGGTTGGACTAAGTGTAAATAGTTATTTTTTATTACTTCATTCTGGCTATATTTGTTCTACTGAGTAATTTCTGCTTTTTCTGATCTGGAATATGTAATTACTCTGTTCTATTAATCATTGTATGTATTAACATGAATTGTGATTCAGGGTTCAGCGAGATACCGTTTATGCTTTCCCAAGCTTATTCTGTACAAATAAATGAACCCTATGAAAAATGGAGAGAAATATTGTCAACACTCAGTCCTGTCTTCTGTAGCCGTGCCGAGATCATGATACACAACTGGTTAAAAATGGAAATTAACAATAATAATCAGTAAATCTGGAACATTGAACGCCGTTTCCAGACAGAGAATAGTATGTTTATGGAAAGCTTGATAAGATAGAGAACACAAAAGTCCTTTGGTAACCAAATAGATGCCAAATGGGGCCGGGGGGCAGGGAGGGGGGGAAGTGAAGTGCTAAAAGTGCAAGGAGCCTTGGTGAGCCAAATGGGCTTCACTCATTTCTCCCCCCCACACTACTCCTCCTCCCAAATTGTTATGATCTTATTCATATGATCACTCTGCATATTATGCGGATGCCCCCATCATCTCCATTATTGTCTCTGATAGATCCTGAATATTGGGATTGATCATGTCGTTCCGATTTGGACAACACCTCATCAAGCCCTCGTTTGTGTTTCTGAAGACCGAACTGTCCTTTGCGCTTGTAAACAGGAAGCCAGTGGTCCCTGGGCGTATCCTTTTCATAAAAGCTTCTGAAGTGGACACTCATGGGCTCTAGATACTCAGTCTCCCAAGGAGAAGGAGAATTCTGCTCACTCTGAAGACCAGGTAAGATGTTACTCATATTTATTCTGAAACCAGTCAGTGGGATGTAATATGCTTGATCTGTGTTGCAGAACTTCTGAAAATGGTTGCTTAGCAACTGTGACCTTAGAGGTGAATTTTCTACTGACCTTTTCACCACTGAAGATGTATAAATAAACAGGTGCTTCTAAAAGGATTTTTAAGTCTATGAGGTACTTCTGTTTAAATTTCATACTATGCTGAAAAAAGCAGGCTATTTCCTTTTTAATGCTGCCACATATTTTTAGATGTAAGTAAATGCTTTTCAGAGCATTTTCAATGTGTTTTCTTGGAGTTAAATGTACCGTATTTGTCAAATGGTGGTAAAAGTTGTTCAGGTGACTATTTTAAAGACAGGTCACTTTAAAGCAAAATTTACTTGCTTCTGTGACTCTGTGTAGGAATGGACTAAGCAAACTACCTGTTTAATCAGATACATTTCCTGAGGAAAAATTAGACCCATTGTTGAAAACAAGACCCATCTATCTATTCAAACACATAGTAGGAATTGTGGTTGTGTATCACAGACTCTGGAAGTTCTCTTGAGCCTGCCCCGCTAAGTGTCTCTACTCTGGGGCCCCCATAGGAGGCAGTCGGCCATCTGTGCCTGGCCCTGTGTTTGTGTGCAACTCCCACTAATTTCAGTGGAAGTCCAGGGTAGGATTTTCAAAAGTGTTCAGTGTGGGTCTGGTCTGCTCCCATGGAATTCAATAGTCCAAGCCCTATCGGGGAAGAGTTAGGCAGTGCTTTGCATTTTTTAAAATCTCATCTAAGTGTAAATATTGGGTGGAGAATAGACACACAAATCAACTTTTTGAATTGTCAAAAGTATTCCAGTCCTGTTTGGGGGGGTTTGATGGCATGTTTACAATCACTGATTTTCATCAAAAGCTTTTTGTCCCTCCTGGGTGTGGTATTACTTCTTACTAAGCATAAGATACAAAATCCCCGGTGCACAACTCCCTTTCAAATAACCTTCCTTATATGCCTTTTTTGAGTGCCAGGTATTTGTTACAGAATTGAGATGTTTGGTTAAGATTTTATGCCAAAAATATTATGGAGTAAGGGCTGGTCGACACTACAAAGTTAGGTCAGTTTAACAACATCTCTCAGGGCTGTGAAAAATGTCATGCCCAATGAGTCGACCTAAGCCCTGGTGTAGACCGCAGTGGGTTGATGGAGAGGTGGATTTATTACAGTGACAGAAGAACCTCTTCCATCACTGTAATAACTATCTACACTACAGCAGTGCAGCTGCAACATTTCTAGTGTGGATGTACCCTTAGAAGAGTTTATAGAAACTTCACGTCCCTAACTGACCAGTGTATAAGCTATTTTAAAGTATTGAGTGAGAAGTTCTGTTTTTTAAACAATATGTTCTATTGGGTTCTGGGGAGGTGAGCGGGCACAAGCCCGTCCATGGCTAAAGGACCCTCCCCCAGCCTATAGGGAGGATCCACAGAGCCCGAAAACACAGAGCCCCAAAATGGGGGACAATGGAAAAAATAACAAGGCCGGGTGTGAAGGTCTAAGGGTCAAAAATATGGAACCCGCAGCGGACACTGAGCAGAGAACCCCGGACAGCACCCACTGCTGCTCGAAGGTGTCAAGGGAGCCAGCTGACGTCGCCCAGAGGAACTCCGCCCGGATACGTGAACGGAGGGAGGATCGGAAATAGGCCCCACAGTTGCAGAGAACCTTCTTGGCCAACATCCTTTCTGTGGTGTTCTAGACAGCCACCTTGGCCATCGCTAGGAGGAAGTTGACGAGGAGGTCCCGTGACTTTGTGGGGCCATGGATAGGGTGTGCGTATATAAAGAGGTGGGGGGAGAAGTGCAGCCAAAAATGTAAAAGGCAGTCCTGGAGGAGCCGGAAAAGGGGCTGTAACGATCTGTTGTTAGGTCTATTGCATGCTACGCACCCTGTAGCTTAATTAATTAATTAATCCTATTTTCAGTCCTATTTTCAAAGCAATCAAATGAAAATATTATCGATACAATCACTCTTGGAGACTTGGCTCTTGCAAATACCTAGACAATGCAATGCTGTATGGAATATCCAGGTCTGATTGTAATTAAAATTTATAGCTACTGTATGTGGAAGTTTTAAAACAACGATTAATGACATTGTCAATTAGTACATAGAATGGGTAAATTTGATTGTTAAATATAAAAAGGTGCTTCAGATGGAAATGTTTGTTTTTAAAGTTTTGTGGGGAGCAAGGAGTAAAGGTTTAAGGAGCCTATAAAACTTAATTATTACAAGCTTCTTTCCTTCTTCAATAATTAAAGGTCTATAAACTTTAGCTGTATAGTTACTGCTCTCTGTTTGGTAGATACATTTATGTGCACAGGTTTAGTTTTGTTGTCCCATAATGAGTTTTGCAGCACATTTGATACTGGCACATTGTTTTAATAGCTCATGTGGTTTAATGTATAATGTGGTCTTTGTTTTCCGTTGAACAAATGTTCGGATAATAAAAACAAAAACCCAGCCCTTTCTCTCCCTCATTATAATAAGAACAAAATGGAAAAGATCATGATGCTAAGGAGAGAATACAGCATGTAAAATAGAGCAATTTGCAGTTGTATGCCTGTAAAATGCCTGTATAATGCAGCATTCGTTTAAAGACCTGGCAGTAACAAGTGTATTTCCTGTGCTTTATTGCAATAATTTTATCTGCCTTGTCTTTGGCACACTTAGACATTCCTTTTCATTTTTGTTTTTTCAGTAGAAAATAAAATATTAATGCTTATGAATTAGCGAGACAAAGGAAATCAGTATGAAAGCCAGCTCACTCCAGGTGGTGGCTTTAATTAACTTGTAAGGCTGAAATTCCATCTTTAAAAGGAATGTAGGGTGGGAGTCTTGAATCTGCTGTAATCGTTCTCAAAGTACAGTTATAGGCTGAAAAGTGCTTCTGTAAAAATGGCATCATGGAGCTCAGTGGTTTTGTCTCGGTGGCGCTATAGGGCATTTGCTCAGTTTACAACTGAAAATGCTGCTTTTTCCTAACTGCCAGCCCTGCAAATTCAACCTGTTCTTTCTGGCTCCCACACCACCAGTAATAAGGCCCCTGGAACTGGAATGTAGTTAACAACTCAGTTGATGAGGTGTGAGCCAGACTGTAACCCAGTTCAAGCACCCAGAGATGTGCTGCCTCAGCAGGGCTAAAAGGAACAAAGAGTAGTAAATATATATATTTTTGGGGTGGCCTGGGACTGCTCTCCATCTCCTGAAGGGATTCTGCCTCATTGATCTTCCCAGCATGCATCAAGATTAGGCTCTAGTTACTTCAGGGATGTGAGTTTATTTGTAAGCTTGGGGGGATTGGATCATCATCATCAGGAATCAAATCTGGGATATGTGGATCCAAAATGATGACGCTCGATTGCCTGAGCTACAAGATCTAGGTTCATTTGCTTGAAATCAGCAACAGTCTCATAAACCTCCGTGTGGCCCAGCCAATAGAGGGAGACAGAGTATCAGCGTGGGTTACACATGGGTGGTGTGCAAGTGGCTCTGTACTGTTTCAAAGGATGCTGTATGTTCTCCCCAAAACATGTGGCCAGGGCAGAGGTGGGTAGGACTGTCGTCATGCTCCTTTGAGAACCCAGAGCACAAGGAGAGAGCACTGGCAAACCTTGATTTGCCCTATTCCTGCATCTGGGTATGAGAGTGCAAGAAGCCCATTCACCCTCTCCCTTCCCGCCCCCACCCACCCTCCCCACCTTGAGCAGTCAGGTACATTCCACATCTATCGTGGACACGGTAGATTCTTTATTAGTAAAACCTTTTGTTAGATTAGAGAATTGACTGGGATGTTAATATTAGGCACAGTCGGGTACGAGGAATCTTGTCTTTTCTGAGAGTTAGGTGAGGATGGAGAGAGATGTGCAACCCTTGTGTGTGAAATCTCATGCAATAGGGAGCCCCTTAGAAATCCAGTTCCTGCGTTTCAGAGGGGAGTATTCCTAAATCAGTGCGGCAAATACAGGAGAACCAGACTCTAAGGGAAGAGAGGGGCTGCAACAATTGCCCTTTTGGGGTTCTTGCTTTGGGAGACTTAATTGTTTCTAATATAGATAACCTTTTGCTGCAGTAATAGTTTGGGAGGTTTATACAGCTTGGTGCTTATGTGCCAACAGTGCCCTCAGTTGACCTTTGAAGCTTAGCTTATGGTGTGGGGTGTTATTGTTCAGCAGCACTACCCGCTGCAAGCCGGCACAGGGGCCAGCCATGTTCTCGTTAAGAGTGGACGCCCTGCTCCAGGATAGCACCCCCACCATCACTAGCTGTGGAAAGGGGTGTGGCCTGTGGTAAGGGGCGGGGGGAGGTGAAATGAAGGCGAGGCCATGGTTTTGCTGCTCCAAAGACACACAGCATTTTGAGTGGACTTCCAACCTCAAGAAGAGCATTGGAATGTTCTTAAAATGAAGGGAATAAACCACAGGCAGTAAGTGGTCAAAGTGAGCAGGACCCCATAAGAGTAGAGCCTAGCACTATGAATGCTGCTGGCATGAACTGGATTATGCAAACCATGCACACCAAGATAAGTTTTATTTTTTTAAACTGTACTTTGTAAGATTTTCCTTATTTTTACTAAATGATTGAAAGACCGAACTAGAGCGCTGAAAGAAGGAAGCAAAGAGAACAGATAAAGTGAGCCTGAGTAGGGCTTTTCTGTAGTGCTCTGAGCCACCTTTACCTTCTAGCCACTGTGGTCTGCTGCCCAGCTCCGGCCTGTATTCCAGGTTTGCAGTCTGTCCTCTCTGAATTCTGAACGGATGTGAAAACTGAAACCCTGAAGCTTCCGACTCATACTGATGCCGTGGTTTAGTGGCGCACAGCAGAATTTCTTCTTTAATTAAATCCATCAGCTCATTAG